AAAGGTGAAGAATATAATAAATAACTAGATTTTAGATAGCAACCACAGGGAGACGTCGATGTGTTTTGGAGATGGATTGATGAATTTAATTGGATTGAAAGGGGGTGTTTGGGTATTTTCCATGGTAAGGGTATTTTGAATATTTGATATTGTTTATTTATTGTTTTCTATAATTGAATGCCATTTGGCCAAGAAACATTGAGCTGGGTTTTTTTTAAAACCAAAATTATGGTTTGATTGGGCTTTTTAACAAAGAGTCCCAAACTAAATTAAACGAGATGGGGCGAGGACCTCGTTACCTGATCCAGCCCCCACTCCCGGTTGAATTTCCTCACCTCGAATACCGATTAAGCAGATAATTCCGGTCTTGTTCGGGGCGGGGTCACACGAGTATCGGGTTTAATAGGTTTTTTTACCACCTTAGTTAACAAGTTCATTCAACTCTGTGATTCTACAAGTCGGTCGTGAAGCCACTGCTGCAGTTTTTTATGAATGTTCTTAATCATTACGAGAATTGAAAACTTTCGATCCTGTTTGAATAATGCATTGAGAGACTTCGCATTGTTTGACTTCATTATATTGTATCGACGTCCAGGAAAATGTGGTCACGTCTAATGTGCAATCCCCATTTTGTTAGATAATCCCATGATGATGATGATTTACTTCCTATTTCGATTATGAACTTATTACATTCTTCAATACTGTAAGCTTCTGTGCGTTATTAAATGAGACATGTTCGTATGAAGTGATTGGCCATGTATAGAAGATGGAAGAATGAAGACTAATTTATTTAGAACTTGTTTGGTAGAGATTAAAATCGGATTAAAATTGAAAAACTAGTCGTTACTGTTGACTTTTATTAGATGAGTGGGATTCAATAACGACTATATTTTCAATTTTAATTGCTACAACTTCTTATTTTTAAATCCAGACATTGCTGTAAATTTTCCTATATGTGCGCGAAAACAAAATAAATTAAGATCTCAAAAATATCAGTAAATTGGTGCATTGTAATAAGAGAGAGAGCGCTTCACCAGTCTTGGACCCAGTCCATATCTGTAGACTCATTGTCCTATAATTTTCTGAACATTTTATTTGATTTGTATCAATCAAGTGAAAAATTGAAGAGTTCTTTCCTGATTGATGGTATTATCAGAAGTTTTGTGAAGAAATGGGGGACAGTCAGAAGAATTACTCTTCGAATCCAAAAGATTATAAGCTCCTAGAAGAGGTTGGATATGGCGCTAGCGCAACCGTTTACAGAGCAATCCATTTGCCTTCCAATGAAGCGGTGGCCGTCAAGTGTTTGGATCTCGATCGATGCGGTAGCAGTTGTTGGGAATTTACTTAATC